CTAATTTGCAAGTAAAGCCAATATTACTTGAACAGGTCCTGTTCAAGAAGCACAAAAGATAGATGAGAAACTTGTAAAATTGACTAGAGAAGTTCAAAATGGGGAAAAGCTGGATTTTACATTAACAGATGATGATGTCTTATTTTATCAGAACAGGTTATGCGTCCCTAATGATGACAGCTTGAGGAGAAAAATACTGAATGAAGCACATACTTCACCATATGCAATTCATCCTGGAGGTACAAAGATGTACCAAACCATCAAGGAACATTATTGGTGGAATGGTATGAAGAGAGACATTGCGGAGTTCATTTCCAAATGTTTGGTTTGTCAACAAATAAAGGCAGAACATCAAGTCCAGTTGGTTTACTACAGCCCTTGTCGATGCCGGAATGGAAATGGGAGAGAATAACTATGGACTTTGTTTCTGAACTTCCTCGCACTCAGAGAAATCATGATGCAATATGAGTGATTGTGGACAGGTTAACCAAGAGTGCTCACTTCTTAGCAATCAGGATGGATTACTCACTTGAGCGTTTAGCCGAATTGTACATTAATGAGATCGTAAGACTACATGGGATCCCTGTGTCTATTGTATCTGACTGAGACCCAAGGTTTACATCTAGATTTTGGGGTAGCTTGCAGGAATCTTTGGGTACTAAGTTGAAATTTAGCACTTCGTTCCATCCTCAAACAGACGACCAGTCGAAAAGAGTGATACAAATTTTGGAGGATATGCTTCGAGCTTGCATTATAGAGTTTGAGGGTAGTTGGGACAAACACTTGGCTTTGATAGAATTTACTTATAATAATAGCTACCAATCGTGTATTGGAATGCCTCCCTATGAAGCTCTATACAGAAGGAAATGCCGGACCCCTCTTTGTTGGAGTAAAATTGGTGAAAGAAAGCTTATTGGTCCTGAAATTGTGCAACAAACAGAGGACAAGGTAAAAATTATCAAGGATCGTCTAAAGATTTCTTCGGATCGACAAAAGTCATACGCTGATCTTAAAAGGCATGACATTGAATATCAAGTGGGAGATAAAGTATTCTTAAAGGTGTCTCCATGGAAAAAGATTATGAGATTTGGCCAAAAAGGAAAACTTAGTCCCCGATTCATTAGACCTTATGAGATACTTGAAAGGATTGGACCAGTTGCATATAAATTAGCTTTGCCACCGGAGTTGGAGAAGATCCACAATGTCTTTCATGTTTCTATGCTCAGAAGATATCGTTCTGATACATCGCATGTTCTTCCAGTTGAATCTATTGGGGTTAATCCTGACTTGACGTATAGTGAAGAACCTATCCGGATTGAAGCTCGAGAAGTAAAGCAACTGAGAAACAAGAGAATTCCCTTAGTAAAGGTGCTTTGGAGGAACCATTCTGGAAAGGAAGCTACCTGGGAAAGAGAAGAAGACATGAGGACCCAGTATCCACACTTGTTCCGGGACTAGTGTAAGGTAAATTTTGAGACAAAATTCTTTAAGGGGGAGAGAGTTGTAACACCCCTAAATACTAACCAAGAGTCGCATGTCGTATTTACCATTGCTTAATTATTACAATATGTTTTACTCTCATTTTGAAAACTTGAAATGTTGTGATAAATTGCTAACTTGCTTAACATAATTGTGATAGTAATTTAAGGTATTATATTGGGGTATTTTCGTAATATTCTAATTAGAATTATGTATAACTTTAAAAGGGAGGTGAGGGATATACATAGAGGTATATATGTATGCTTTTTGGGTAGCCAACTTTTTGTTTGGGCAACCCCTTTTGGTGACATCTGTACAGGTGATAAGTATCACCTTTGTAACTATATATTTTCTACACCTCCTTTAATTAAATTCATTTCCCTCAAGTCTAAGAATATTAGAACCTTAGCTAAACAGATTGTTCTTCAAAATCACAAGAAAAAACTTGGCCCTTTTGGCTGGAATTCAAGAACACACACTTCTTTTTGGTAAGTGACGAAATCTGTTTCTGAGCTGGGTAGTGTTTGGTAATTTATGCATATCACTCTCTCTAGAACTCCGTTTATGGTGAATAAATATGATTTGGAAAGCTAATTCGTAGAACTACAACTCTTATGTTTATGTAAAACTCTAGTTTAGTTGTTATGGATTCGAAATATGGGACGCAACATAGGACAAGTTCTGTCTAGATTTTGGAATTTCAAATCCTGTATTAACAACTGTTAGTGTTTTGGATATATCTTGTTGTACAAAATATATTTTGCGGTGATTCTTGTTTATTTGCAACCTTAAGAGATCCATCTACATCTTTCATGAAGGTTATAAAGTTTAGTTTTGCCGTTTTCCTTTTCAAATCTAAGTTGCGACATGAGGTACTAGCCTGGCCAGAATCACTGTTGTGGGAGCATAGTCGTGTTTGTACAGGCTAAGCTTACTTGTGATGATAATACTGTTTTACATCAATATTATTGAGCTGCTGGGAATTAAAGAAGTTATTTAATTGTATTTTTAAGGTTGTCCTCCTTGATATGTTGTGGTCTACGGTTTGAACTCTTGAAGTTGTGTTGGACAGTTTCTTTGCTAAAGCACTGGGGCTTGTGTATAAACTTGTACTTGCACTCTTTTAACTGCTGGAATATTTGAAAGTTGATCTTGGTACCTTGGTTACCTCTTGTCACTTTGCATTGTCATGTTGGTATCCTTTAAGACGTTAAAGACGCTTGTGTAACTCGCCCACTTGTACGGATTGTTTGATCACTTGGCACTCTTGTTGGGACCTTGTCCTTCTTGTGTGGCTGTGACTTTGTCACTATTGACATTCCTCTTGATTCGGATCATTTGTCATCTTGACTCTGGATTTTTAGTCCGTCTTAAGAATGGAAGTTGTCCATTTTAAGTACGAACTAGGAAGCCATTTTTAATATGGTTCTTGGTTCTCTTGATTATTGGGCTTTGACCCTTGTTTATACAGGGCGTCGACCCTTCTTGATACTTGCTTATGCTTGGTGCGAAGACATGATGTACATATTGGGCGAGCCTTGTTATTGAATCTCTTGGAAATTTGTGCTATGAGCGTTCTTGACATTTGGAACTGTAAATATCGAACTTGATACTCTATATATATTGTTTATTTGATTTATTTATTATGTTCGAGTATTTTTCCCATGACTTGAGAAAGTTAACTTGGTGAATCTAATGGCTCTGAACCTATAGTTTTGCACCACTAAGCTATATGTTTAGCGATAGTTGTTTCTATCGTAGGGGAATGATCGAGTGGATGCATGAAGTTGGCCATTGGAAATGGAAATTTTGAGAGCTTGAAGGAAGATCACATTTGCATATAGGCATCTATATTTTGTATAAACCTTGGGACTTGTACATGATCTATGTGTTGTATATTTACATGAAATTTTGAGGACTAATTTGATCATGTCACCATGGGTTGTAATATAAGTATGGCTCTATGATTTGTTCTTTTGGGGTTCGTAAGCCCAAGTCTTGTAATATATTAAATTTATCACTAATTTTGAATGATTGTGCGAAACATGAACCACCTAGTTTAGTAACTCGAAAGTTGGTAATATTCTTTTTATATTTTTTACTAGTGTGAGGACAATATATATGAAAAATAAATCTTATGAGTTATTGGCTTATGTTAGCTTGGAAGGGTCGCTACAAAGAAGGGAAAGAGGCAACTGAGAAAACTTGCCCAACGAAAAGATTCTGAATATTCATATCTCATATGTAGGTTGTCAGGTCATTTGAGAATCCTTATTCAGTATCACCCGTTCCAGTACAAACCAAGCGCTAACTATGGTAGTTTGAATGAAACCTCTCAAGTAGAGAATCTTCTTAAAAGAAATTTAAGGGACCACATTCCCATCAACTTTTTGAACAAAAGTAAGCAATTTCTTGTATTTTTGGATTTAAAAAAAAGGTAGATAAATCACTAACTTTTATATGAAGAACATAGCAATACGCATGATTGAAAAAGTCACATTAGTTGAAAATCGAGAAAGAGCATCAACCTTTCTTACAAGGCTACTGTAGTTCTCCCAACTATTGCACTAAGGAAAGTGAATTTTGCACCTCACAGACCAGTCATGTGCAGTCTGTTAGTGGATGGTCATGAAGACTATGCAACCATTTCTAGAAACATATTTCACTTTTTCAACAATGTTAAAAGCACTTGATAATGAAGATTAGATAAAAGTTTGTCAAGAAACAACAGTGATGGCTTATGAATTATGTTAATCCCGATTGAGACTCTTCATGTTCTCCCCAACACACTCCTTTTCTTCCTTCATCTCCTATGTATTGCGTTGGCATGTGCATATAGATATTCAGTTTGCATTATCAAGTTATGAATAAAATAACTTTAATAACTTTGAAACTAATGCTATAACCTATACAACATGCTATATAACTTAACTCCTTTGGTTGATAGTAGGACTTTTTGGGGTGTGGGGATTTAAAATAAAGAAAATAGAGAAAAACTGTAGAAATAGTACTTTATTCAAAGTATTCTGCTATCACCTGTTTCTCCATCCATTAAGATCTGATATTGGAGTATATTTTTTTGAAGTGATAGTTATTAAAAAAAAGCGTCAAAAACATGCTATTACTTCATACTTTAAGCGTTGTTGTGTGATTCTTCTATGGTCTTATCGTAAGAGACAGTAATATAGAAGTAAGATTTATTTTCAAGCATCATTGTAGATTCCAAATATATTGGGATTCATATTACACTACAAAAGGAACCCCAATTACCAACAAATAAATTCGTTGGTAAATTGATCAAATTGGTTGGCAAATTGAGTTACCAACCAAATGCCAACTTATATTAATCTGTTGTTAAAAGGCTCGTCGGTAAATATTACCAACAGATTTTAATTTGTTGGTAAACTTACCAACTAAAATCAGTTGGTAAACACCTAAAGATGTTGTTACAAAATTTTGAAACATGGCCCTGAAATTTTCGTTGGTAAATTCACCAACTAATTTTTGGTTAGTATATCGTTAGTACCTTTACTAACGAATTGAAAAGGAGTTAGTAATTTTTTTTCTTCATTATTCGATTCTATTGGTAATACGTTGATAATTACAGTAAATTTTTGTTGGTAATTTACTAATAAATTTTAAATACTTTTATTTTTTGGTTTCCCATCCAATGTTCGATACCCCACACCAGAGCCCGACTAAATCCGGATTCACGCCGGGAAGTCCCACATTGGGGAGTAAAGCGCTCCCTAACAAAGACGACTCCATACCCAAGGGGAATCGAACCTGAGACCTCTAGGTTAGGGATGATGCAGTAATTACCACTCCACCACAACCCTTGTTGGTAATAAATCATTCAAGGCAACTCCGCAAGGGGAATCGAACCTGAAACCTCTTGGTTAAGGATGATGGAGTACTTACCACTCCACCACAATCCTTGTTGGTAATAAATTTTAAATATGTTAGTATGATTATTTGTTTTTCTAATAAATTTACTAATTGATTGTTAGTTAGTTGGTAATATATCTCTTGGTTAAGGATGAAGGAGTACTTACCACTCCACCACAACCTTTGTTGGTAATAAATTTTAAATACGTTAGTATGATTATTTGTTTTTTCTAATAAATTTACTAATTGATTGTTAGTTTGTTGGTAATATATCATTCAAGTTCAATGTTAGGTTAGTAATTGATTGACAATATGTTCAAAATATTATTAACTGAATGATTATCCAATAGTTAAATATTTATTAATTTATTGCATTTAAAAATCTAAGAGCACGAATATAAATCCAAAAATACTAATATCAATTTTCTAAATCATATTTGAATGAAACAATGCAAAATCTTTGATAACAAGTTAAATTAATCTCAATATGACACATATCATTATATCAAAAAAATTAATTTGAGCACGTTTACCAAAAAATTGACCAAATCTAAATTTTGGCCAAAAATTTTAAAAGTTAAAACGCCTAACAGTACAAACTGAAAATGGAAGCCTCAAAACCTGAACCAACCATCCTATTAGATATAAAAATGACCTTCCAAAGCTAATTGCGCTGACGAAATTCTCATCAGAGCACGTTTACAAAAATGTAAAGCAAAGTCAAATTTTGGCCAAAAGTTAAAAGTTAAAACGCTTAACGGTACAAACTGAATATGAAAACCTCAAGACCCAAATCAACCATCCTATAAGACGAAAAATGACCTTCCAGAGCTCACCGCGCTGACGAATTCAAATTTGAACATGTTTCCCAAAAAATAGACCTAGTTCAAATTTTAGCCAAAAGTTAAAAGTTAAAACACTCAACACAAACTGAAAATAAAAGTCTCAAAACCCGGACCAACCATCCTATGAGACCAAAACTGAACTGATATGGCTAACCCCGATGACAAAATTTCAATTCGAGCACGATTATCAAAAATATTGACTAAAGTGAAATTTTGGCCAAAAGTTAAAAGTTAAAATACCTAACGGCACAAACTAAAAATGGAAGCCTCAAAACCCGAACCCTCTATCTTATTACATAAAAAATGACCTTCCGCATCTAACTGCACTGACGAAATTCTCATCTGAGCACGTTTATCAAATATATTGACTGAAGTTAAATTTTAGCCAAAATTTATATGTTAAAACACCTAACGGCACACACAAAATAAAAGTCTCAAAACCCGAACCAACCATCCTATTAGATAAAAAATGACCTTTGGAGTTAATTACGCTGACGGAATTCTCATTTGAGCACGTTCACAAAAATATTGACCAAAGTTAAATTTTGGCCAAAACATAAGATTTAAAACACCTAACGGAACAAACAAAAAACGGAAGCCTCAAAACTTGAACCAACCTTCCTGTTAGATCAAAAATGACCCTTCGAAGCTAATGACACTGATAGAGTTCTAATTTGAGCACGTTTACCAAAAATATCGACCAAAGTCAAGTTTTGGCTAAAATTTAAAAGTTAAAATGCCTAATGACACAAACTAAATATGAAAGCCTCAACACTAGACGCTGATTTACCAAAAAGTTTAACTTCAATTGATAAATTTACCAATTATTCAAATATAAGTTAGTAATTAATAATTTACCAATAAATTTTATCACAGTTGGTAACAATTACTATTCAACTAAACATTCATATGTAATATTACCAACTAATAATTAATATGTTGGTAAATTTTACCAATGGATTAATGATCAGTTGGTATATTACCAACTATTTTAAAGATGTTAGTAATTTACTAACTACAATCTTTATTCGTCGGCAAAATTTTCAACTAATTGGATATTGGTTGGCAAGTTTACCAACAAATTACATTTCGTTACTAATTTACCATAACATTTATATTTGGTTGGTAAATTTAGCAACACAATCTTGCCGTTGGTAAATGTTTGGTTAGTAATTCATTGGTAATATGTTAATAAATTATATAAACAATTTTTTGTCATATTTACCAACCGATATATACTTCGTTGGTAATATTACCAACAAAAGGTGTGCGTTAGTAATATTTCAGTTGGTAATCCATTGATAAAATGTTGCTAAATTTGGCGCCATTTTTTCCCGCCGTATTTACCAACCAAAATACTTAGTTAGTAAGATTTTGGTTGGTGATCTGTGAGAATTTCGTTGTTAAGTTTTAAAATATAATTCAGTTAGAAATATGTTGGTAATTTGTTAGTAGAATACTAACCAACTTAAGTTGTTAGCAAAATCTGTTGGCAATTTAGGGTTTTTTTGTAGTGTTAGGTGTACAACAACATTTGAAAGATAATACATCTTTACATGAGTATAATGGCTTTACTTGAGTATTTAAAAAGCTCATGAACAGATCTTGGCTAATTAAGAACCTGAAAAATGCACACTATAATTGTTTTACATGTTTCATTCAAAATCAACAGAATACAAAAGTTTAGATTCCATCTCTGACAAACATATTATCAAATACATTAGGTGGTGCATTATCCGCCTCAAATTAATTGTTAATCCACACAAAATACATCAAAAAGACATAATGCATGTCGAAATCAGGAACAACAGCTAACATGCATATAAAACTTCTAGTAGACATATTGTTATCAAAGGAATTATATCTCTCTAATTAATCATGATGATGCATCTTCCAGTGATTGCACAATATATAGAAATATAGTGAAAAATCTACGAAGAAAGAAACATAACAAAATATTGTTAGTGCTATTAGGCATATTATTGAATACCTTGAATGCGCAAAGTGCCATAGCATAGAAAAGTAGTGAAATATGAAATTCATTTGCCAAAACTTCTCCAAATATTAACCCCTGCAAAAGAAGTAGATTAGGAACAATATAAAGGCATGCAAAAAGTCTTCGAAAAATAGAGAAATTCAAGCTAGAGAAGAAGAAAGCACATGAAAAATTTAACATTCAATCAGGAAAAAAGTGTGTTGAGATGGATGAACAATTAAAACCCAAGAAAATTACCTTCTAATGAGGAAGAGGTAGACTGATTCCTTGTAGAAATTATAGAAAAATTTATCAGTTTCTGGAATGATCAAAAGATGGTAATTGAAGGCCAAACACGTGTTATACATAGTGCAGATAAAGTAATTTTGCCTTTGTTCGTCCTCCCAAACTCCCATTTCTAAATAGGACTAGATGAAGGAGACCCATGACAAGCACGGGCCCAATAGTCAAATTAATATTGAAGCAACTATGGAGTTATTATGCTTGTAAAAATATCAATATTAATGAATCAAGGGTGACGACTTCTGCAGAAGATGGTTAATATCATATACTATTAGAAATATTCAGAATATGTACAACAAACATCAGTATGGTGTTGATTTGAACGATCAGCAAATACTAACTAATGTAATACACCCAAATAATATAACAGATGGTTCAATTTTGACATATTAGATTACTATGTCATTGTTTATCATATGTAAAGGACGTCGGAGTTCGCTTCTTAGTAGCTAATCTTCTGCATTCAAAAAACCATAGCATAGGGAGTTGTTGGGGGTTCCTGAGAAAATTGTGTAATGTTAGTAAATTCACAAAGTTGAGGTGGTTGATGATGGAAGTGAAACTGCTTGAAAAGTGACATGACACAAAAATGTGGGATAAAACATTACCTGGATAGCTAAATAATGAAGGCATCCCAAAAAGTTAAACCGATTCATTTCATTCTCCCTATTGAGCGAACTTGTACCGACTGAGAATCCAAAAATTTCATTAAGCAAAAGTCACAAAATCAAGTAAGGGAGTTCCTGTAATTAGACAGTTTAAAGTCTGTCAGAAACTGATAATATAGCAACACATAGCAAAACAATTTAAATTTTAGAATCCCTCAAAACGGAAGAAAAAGTTTGAAGCTTTATCCTCCAAACTGGCACCCTTTTTAGCACATTTTTAGCACAAAAACTGGAAATGAGCAAATGGTAACTTCAGAATGAGCAAAATATGGTCAATTAACACCCTAGCGACACCAAAAATAAAGGAGGTAAACTTTAGAAAGACTGAAATTTTCTTTAAATTTACTCAAGCATTTACTCTTCCAACTTCATCAGCATTGATGAGAACAAATTCATTTCTATTAATTAGGGTATAGAGACATGATCAAATAAATTTTGATATGATGTTATATTTTAGAGAATTCATTTACAAAGCGATCAAATAAGTCTTGATACATCGACAAGTAGAGGAGGGGAAAAAAGAGCTAATCACCCACAATGAGCAGAACTTTTAAGGTAAATTTATATGCCCATTAGGTATCAAATAGAAAGAAAGTCATGAAATTGATAAAAGTGATAGTTTCTCCATTGAATCTCTGTGTGATCAGCATGTTCAGATGATCAGCTCTGTAATTAGTATAATAGAGGTCTATCATTCTTGGAACCAAGTTAGGTGTTTGAGAGTATAGATGCTCCATAAGTGTATTGGATTGTTGGAATGGTAATAGTTCACAATTCATTTCCATAAAAAGAAAAGACATTGGAATGCTTTATAACTTCACAAACACACACAGATCACTGCCCAAAGAAGTGGTCTTAGCAGAGTTTTTTTTTCAAAATAATTACGTTGTTAATTTACTTTCTCTAAGTTGTAAACAAACCCAAAACCGTTCGGATCAATGGTCTCTAATCATCTCATTCTTTTTTCTTGAAAACCTAATGTAAGAAGCCCATTGGGATGTCCATAATTAAGTATTTTTCTTCATTGACCGTCAAAACCTTTCTAGGTCATTAATTATACTTACCGTTTCCTCACCAATAACTTGCATCATAGTTGTTGCTTGGACATTATGAGCTCACACCTTAGCATTAACCACATTGAATTTGAGATTCGTGAGGACAACGCCCACCTCAAACAATAGCCCTGGTCTATCACTCAGACTATTGACTCGGGGATGATCATTAGTTATCCTAAAGATTTTCCTAGTATGATCTAAAAAGGAGAAAGACTATTTCAAATAAGACAACTTGAACACATCATCAAACATCTTGAGTGTATATCCAGGACGTTCTAATTTTGCAAATGGACTCTATTAAGAGGACTGTCCTCGCACGTGTAAGATTAGATCGGGGTTCAATTTTCAATAGGATGATTTGGTTGTATGCACTAATTAGATAACAACAAAGACAAAATTCATCAAAGAGATAATACTTATGTAAATCGGATTGCTAGTTATTCCCCTCACTACAACTTTATGAGAAAGTTAAATATGCAATAAGTTAAATGTTGGAGAATCATAACAAAAATGGAATCGGCAGTACCTTGCTAAACAAATAGAAAAACGACCACCCTAATTTCCTCATCAATACCAAATGTACACATATATAAGTGAATCACTTGAAGACTGCAAGTTAGACAATTTCTGAAAAAATTCTGGCTATAAAGCATGCTACTATGACTACTAAGATTACATTTGTCACCCTCAAATGAAGCTCTATATCAGCTCTAAAAGCAAGTAAAAGAGGTATGTGATTAGCTTCTAATTTTGCGAGCCAAGTAGCTTTTATTGACCGTAAATCCAATAATGCCATGCGCATGACATACCAATTAATGGTTGCGCTTCTTGATCCCAGAAAAATGATACAAAAGGAAAGGGAACAAAAGAGAATTCCTATTTTGTATTCTTTGTTTTTTTGAATCACAGGGTAAAAAGCTAATGACCATTGTGAAAATATTTCCACCTTTTAAGCAAACTAAAGTGGTAAATTCATGGAAAATTCAATTCAGCTATACGTGTATGAGTTTTTCAGTCCAAGATATATGCTTTCTGTGTAAGAGTAGTGTGACAAAAGAATTACCTAGGATCAATGTCCAATGCTATAGATTGATTGCATAGAAGATGTTTATAAACTTGCTGGAACGCGTTATACTCCTTTCATTGGGGCATTTCATCAAACATACTGAATGCATCAATGTTCTCTTCTTGTTATTCTCTTCTTTATGTTTTAGTTAAGTGTTGTAACAATTAAGGCATCAAAGTAGAATATTCTTCAGGAAGAACTTAATAAACAACCACATGTATAATAAAATCCACCAAGAATAAATACATGCAGAAAGTGGAAAATTAAATATTTAAAATCAGACGACTATACTAAGGAAACATAAAATATAAATATGAATATAATTTCATAGGTAGAGTGAAGATTGTTAATCAAAGAAAATTTGTCGATCCTAACTCAATAATCTCCGAAAAACAAATATTTACTTGATCATCGAAAAAGGAATGAATCAGAATATAAACACGAATCAAATACTCACATGCAAACGGGGAATTGAGACATAGCTCTGTAATTGAAAATTTATAAAATGAGTACTTTACCATTGAAGACATGTAGCGGAAGCTCCAATAAACAGACACAGAAATAAAAGAGAAGAAGACTGAAGAAAGAGACCTGGATATAGAAGTTGAAGTGGATGTCCCAAATAGTTAAACACGTGTGCAGGGTTTTAATTGAAGTGCAATACGTGTCGACAGAGTAAAAAATAACTCTAAATTTACCGTACAAATTAGATAACTTTTGGTACAATTTGTTGAAGTTGTGTTCATACACCAACTCCCATTTCTAATAAAGGGTAAAATAATAATAAAGTAAGTATAGGAGAGAGATCTAGAACGATCTCGAAGAGAAAGGGAAAGGAACTTGCTTTGTAAAAATATCAATTATGCCTAATTACAATTTTATCCTTGCAAAATAACATAATTATTAATTTGCCCTTGGTCGTCCTAGGCTTCACTCTTCTATATAATAAAAAATAAAACTAGATATAATATGCCCGTGCTAAGCACAGGCCCGACGAATTGAAATTAATTATTTGTATTACAAAGTTGTAAGGAATGCAAATTTATATTTACAAAGACACTATAAAAGTGCCTCAGATATGGAGGAATGTCCATAGCCCTTTTCTGTTTGTTGAAAGTTTAACTAAAATAAGAAACTAATTTTTTTTACAACATTTGATTGATAAGAAAAAGCAAACAAACAATATAGATTGTTGATCGGATACAACTCTAGCTTTATTTCAACCATTGCGTCTTATTCAAACTGCACAATATGAATAAATGCATTAATGATCACCTAGTTAAGCTACCAAAAATTTGATAAACAGTTCAACACACAATCACTGGAAAACATATCTAGGTCAATTCACCACTTATATTTTCAAGAAAATAATTAATCAAATAACATGCTCAAAATATATCTCAAACTAAATTTATTAAAACTTGTCTACTAAAAAAATAAAACAGGGATAAAGACAACATTGTTAGTTCAGTACCTAGCCACTTGAAACTTTGTTTCGAATCATCAATAAATAATACGTATCATCAAAAAAGATTTACTATTCAAATTGATGGGTTTGAAACGTATAGTATCTTTTAAGCAACCATTATACATGCATGAAGTTACCTGTTCACAAAATTTCAGTACCATGACAATTTGCAACATTTTTCGTAGTCTTCATGGGTGAATCTTAGATCAGGTGTAATGTGCACTTTCAATTCAATTTCAGTATTATCCTTAAAATTTGAAAGGATCTAAGTACTTGCTCCTTGGGTTCATAAGATCAATAGTAGTGACAACATTCAAGTATATTAATGTAATCCAAGGTGAATGTCTAAAATAAAAGAAAATAACAAGAAGAGAAAATTTCGATACACATCTTACATCTAAGCTTCTAATGTAGAAACATTATAACAAATTTTTTTTTGAATTGGAGAGCAGATGAAGATTCAGATAGCGACAAGATGATCATAATCAAAGTAGAAAATATAATGTGAATAGATTATGGAAATGTCACCTTGGTATTGTTATTGTTAAAGAATTTAACAACAGGATAGTCGTTAGGGTCCTCTTTAAATATATATAACTACAATAAAAACAATTGTTCCCTTAACTAATTTTGCCAAGGTATCCACAACAAAATCCTGAAAGCATGTAAGATTATTGATTAATGGTACCTCAAAAAAGTAATAGAAGAACCATACAAATATCTAATACCAGAAAATCTACACAAAGTTCATCAAAAAGCTTGAATAACTAAATAACAGGGCAAGAAGGTGATGAATTTGGCCATGAGGAAGGAGCTGTGAAGTTCTCAAATTTAAAGTTGTGCAATAAGAGGAAGAACTTTCAAATGATGCGTAGGTAAAATGTCTCAAGGAAAAAATAAATAAAAAAACAAAAATCTAAAAGATAAACCTCAAAATACAATAAGCATGAAAGTTTAGACACTGCAAACTATAGATTAGCTTGACCAATCACAATATGGCACTTTAGATTAAATCTATTTTGTTGAAACCATAAGAATAGATATTAAGCCTACTTTTATTCAATGCATTTTTATTTTCTAATATCTCTGTGTTCTTGACGATTTATAGTTTCTTTATAGAAAAGAAAAATATCAACTTAATTGATGTCATATAGCTGACCTCTGAAAAAACCCTCATAATTTATCGCAATAACATGTAGTAGTGTAACATAAAGCAATACTGGCGGATCAATTAAAATAAGGACTCTAGATTAGCCAAGTCCCGTAAAGGAGGTATATCCAATTGAGTTAAAGATTATGCATCATTGCTTTATGCAGCTAATCCGTTAGGAAATGCTGATACTTTAGGCAGCTTTTTCAATAATTTTTCACTGATAAGTTTCCTTCCTAATTTTGTAATATCAAAATGCAAGATATGTATTTCAGTAAGTTTAGCTACAGTACCAGAAATGAAGATGAATATAATCTTAAAATTTATTCAATAGAGATAAACCTACTCTGAGTTACTATTGATCTCTATCGTGCAACCTTAAATTGCATGAAAATTCTCTTTAAAAAAAGCAACAACTATAAAATCTAAGCAAAAGAACAAAATATAAAAAAGAATTGAATAAAAAAAATGACAATATATGTTTAAATGTTAACCTTGTTCTTTGCTAGAGTTCAAAACATTGTTCGGTCGATTCTTAGAACTATCAGACATGGCTTTTCTCCTGGACAGATACAAATTATCATTTGACATAAAAAGTGCTAAGCCAAATTTGTGACTCAAGAGTCAAGAGAAAATGCGTAATACATTTTTTGAGGATCTGGGAACCACATCACTGTTTGTACTTAAGTTCAAATTGTGTATCAGAATACTTTAATGGTCCAATGTTTTATATTTATAAGAGCTCACTTATAGATGATCCAAGAGCATAGTTTCCAAAAAAAACTAAAGAAGTCTAATAAGTAGAGAATGAAAGAATAGAACATTTTATTTGGTGGTGACACAAAGGAGAAGCATGTTCTAAGCACAGATCCGACATATTAAATGTAACATCTCGAGGAGCACTAAGAACATTCCAACTCTAATCTTAAAACAAAAATGTAAGTCATATAAATAAAATAGCTTATCCAATGATCAACAATATATGTTAACTATCTTATCCATCCTAAAATACATTTGTGGACATCTAGCATATAATCTCATCAAAAGTCACTCTCTTACAACAGGTATTTCTAAAACTTTAAATGTAAAATATATATGGACCTTTTGATGTTTCAACTCAACAACTTCCAACAACTTCAAATATTAGGTAGAAATAGTGTTTCTCTCACATTCACAACACAATGAGCATTAGAACTTGTACCATGACATTAGCCAAAAGCAGGGAATTACTTGCATGTATAAGGAAAATAGAAATATAAGATGCAACATAGTTGGTTTAGACATCTAGGATATTTAGTAGTAGTAAATTCATTCAATAACAACTTTCAAGCAACGATCTATTCCATTTACCATTCTAATTATAAAATTCAGGGGCATAGCGTTAAAGGGTATAAATTTAAAATAATCAAAAGTTCAGTAACATTAACTCCTTGAGTTTCTACCACTACCTGCCTGTACATGACATATATAAGCTTAGCTTTTAAAATCTTGGGTACATATTCAAAAAAAAGTAGGAATACTATCAGTTACTTGTTTGACTTAAATAAAAAATACGTGTTCAACTAAACTCATAGAGTTATGGAGAAGGATTTCTTACTAAGTTACTTTGGAATGCATCGTCGAGAGGCTTCTACCAACTGTATTTGCAGTATGGCTGATTGCAGTTCTTCGAAAGATGCTCAACTGATCATTTTGTAGGAGAAGCATCTGAAAAATTGTTATGCATTTATAGATTGTTGCTCGTAGATAATGGTATTACCATATCGCCTGAAGAATGGTGCTTCCCTATTGAAAAATTTCAGGAAAAAAGAGCAATATATCTGAGAATTTTTCAGATATTAGGTGACATGCTATAAGTTCTTCAGCAATGACGCTTGATAACTAAATGTACTCGAGATTTTCTTAGCAATTTTGTTCTGCTTGTTCGAGCCTAATATCAAGAAAAATAAATCATGAAAACTATAAATTTTTACACATGTAAAAAAAAAATAAGACCAACTAACAATTATATATATTTAAGTTGAGGTTTTAAAATTTCCATCATTCATCCCTGATCTAAGTTGCGGACTCTTCACTTTCGATGCCGCACCCGTGTCAAACTCTTCAAAAATACACTACTTTTGGCGAATCCGACACACACCTCTTGACATTTTTAAAGAGTCCGAGCAACATAGTCCTTGATTATGAGACATGACAAGCATAAATACCCATGGATCTTAAAATCATTTATCACCTCTATACAACCATAAGAAAGTAAAAGAGAGAGAGATAAAAAGTTAGGATAAGAAATTATACCAATATCTTAATGCATGAATTATGAATGTTCAACATAGGCAAACTAATCACCTTTGCATTCTTAGAAAATCACTATCAAACTGTTATCAAGTGTATTTATCTGAAATAAAAACCCTCAAATTTATTCATATAGCTAAATCGAGAAGCTGTCTGTCGGTAGTCATTTCGAGACTCTAATGTTTGAACCTCTAAAAATGAAATTGGAAGCTGAAATTGGAACATTGTCCTAATAGCATGATCTTGTGGACTCTCTCGTCAAATATTTTTTATGACTGAGAAACTACCGAGATAATGGATTTATCACAATGTTGTTATTCACTTAAATACAAAATTTGATATAACACCCAAACGTCAAACGTGTGATGTACACCTAGCACATTTTCGCGTTCCACATAGCACAACATTTACTGTTGAACCAAACCCCTAGAACATGGGGATTCTCTTGGCATTCACCAGTCATTTTTAAAAAAAATAAACCGATTGTTGTTTCATCATAGGTACTCTTTTTATAGATCAACTAATTTAGTGAAGAACAAACAATCCCTTGGTCCCAAATAACAAGGCAACTTTTACCCTCATAGATTAAGAAAAACACTGCAAATATTAGATAGTAATTTATTCGATTAGGTCATATGGTAAGACTTTCTCCTACATGCCAATTGTGTTTGAAAACATAAGGTACAATAGATGACATTCTTATTCCATACAACTTAAGCTATCCATCTATAATTGTGGCGGACAATTATTCTTTAGGAAAAAAACTATGCCACATCTTATAACTATGTTTTTCTATTCAATACTTTAGTGCTTACTTCCTTTAATCTTATTCTTATTGCTTCCCAAGAGTCAAAACAATGGATAATAGAATGATTGGAAATAACTTATGACATATTTCTCAAATATGACCTCATCTATGACATATTTAAACAATTGTTTAAAGCCTAAATAGCCTAAATTGTAAATACAAAATACACCTCTGTGAACTTCTAAAATATCTTTTAGTCATAGCCACTGGCCCTATTGGTCCTATTCATATGATTTTTCATTAATGAAATTGCAATATCTAAATAGAGGTGGGGATGGAGTCACCCTCTAAAACCTAGTGATAAATGCGATAGCTTATGTGGAAGTTCATATGAGCAACTCAAATCCAAAAGTGGAATAAAACTGCCTATCCTCAAAAGTTTCGCAAGCATATAATTCTAAATCACCATCATCTTTTCATAAAAAAAAATTATTTCATCAAAAGTCACCATCTAAATGAAAATTTGAATATATAACATATAAGTATCATAAGAAGAACAAAGAAAAAAAATACCAAAAAGGAACAATGAAAAAAAAGTAACTTGCTACTGCTTTCCAGAAAATATGACAGTATATACCTGGATTTAATCATAGATACCTTCAGGTTCACAATCATAAAGATAACAAGCTCTAAGTGTTTGTTGAAACGTCAGCACCTACAAAGAGATAAAAAAACAACTATTAAGAAAGCTGAAAATAGTAAAAGAACTGTATCGAATGCATACGCTTCTCTGCTAAAATATTATTGAAAGTGAATAAGGAGAATTGAAGGCTATTCTTCTTCTTTTTTCTTTTTTATAAAATTGAGGTAGGAAAAATGGGGATTAAATTACAATGTGGGTGGAGAATTGAACCTTGGATGGGAGCTACTGAGATTCCCCAAACGGAAGGCTGTTCTGTTTTAGCAACAACCAATGTTTCTGATTTGAAAAAGAGAGGAAGTTTTTAGGTCATCTTCCTCAAATCTCGAACTGTATAGGTAATTTAGCTCGTAACCCAAGCTTTAGGAGAAGTCGGGAAGAAGAGACATGATGAAGAGATACAGGAAGTTTTTTCATTGTTCTTTTTTGGCTCTTAGATCTCTCTCCTAAGCAAATAGCAATTGTTAATCATAATCTGGAAGTATTGGAGAGAGATCTGGAACGATCTGGAAGGGAAAGGAAAAGGAACTTGCTTTGTTAAAATATCAGTTATGCGTAATTACAATTTTACCCTTACATAATAACATAATTACTAATTTGTCCTTGGTCGTCCTGGTCGTCTTCACTCTTCTATATAATAGAAATATACTAGATATATACGCCCGTGCCAGCACGGGCCCAACACATATAATTTATTTTGTTATAATTTATGTGGTACAAATGAAATTTGGAGAGCCACTCAATTTTTTAATATTTATTTTCTTAAAAAATTAAGCTTTTAATTATCGTAACTTAAAAAATTGACATAATTTGTAAACTAATATGTTATTTTCTCTGTCCCAATTTATGTGGCATGAATCAAATTTGAAGAGTTTTATTTATGGTACTTTTAATTTTTTAAATTCAATGACATATGTTTTTTTACTAATAATATTAATGATCTAATATTAACATTAGAAATAAAAAAGTGATTTACAGATAAAAAAATAGAGAAATAAAATAATTAAACGTATTACTTATTAAGTAGTACTTATTTGGTTTTTCTTAATATACATATTTACCTATGTAAATAAGGTTTTCTTAAATAATAATAATAATAATAATAATAATATTTTTAACTATATAAAACAAAATATTTTTGATGACATTTAATTTTTTTTTTTAATGTAAGATAGAAGATGGAATAACTAAAATATGAATTTGAAATATATTTACGTAATACAAAATATTCCTTTTTAATTAACACTAAATTAGTAAATTGACTGAATTAAAAATAGAAATAAAAAAGTGATGTTGTCTGGGCTTGATCTTGAGACCTCGTGCATGAAATGTGAACTCAATTTTTTTTTTTAATCTCAATTTATGTAATACAAATAGAGTTTGAAGAATCAATCAATTCTTTTCATATGTTTTTTTAAAAAATATTTGAAGTTATTAATTTGTTGTGAATTATAGTATCTTTTCTGTAATTTTTTAATAATATATGTTAATCCTATTTCAGTTCACGTGAATAATTATAAATATTTTCAGTTGTTAATTTATTGTGAATTCTAGAACTTTTGATGTCATTTTCAAATAATTATATTTTCAGTTACTAATTATTGTGATTTATAGTATCTTTTACGTAATTTTTTTATAATATATATTATTCCATCGGTTCAAATTCATGCGACAATAACAAAATTTAAAGATTCAATCATTTTTTTAAAAAAAGAATTAATTTTTAAAATGTTGTACCTATTATAGCTAAAATATATTTATGGAGTTATTAAATTTCGAAAAAGTTAATTGCCAAAAAAAAATGGTGAACCGATGAGAATAAAGAGAGAGAGATTAGAATTGTTGAAGTGGGGTCCATATGTTAAAAGGAAGTTGGATAGTAGTGAAAAGAAAACTGAAAAAATAGGAATAGACAGAAACAAGGGCCCACATTTTTCGGCTGATGTAAAGAAAAGAGGGAAATATGGGTGGGCTTTTATGTCCAATAAATGAAAAAGTGCAACTGTAAAAAGTTAAAGTACCATATATTTCTACATAACACTAAAAGTAAATTCCTATATTACCCCTGGCTAGGGAAGTAGGCATGTTGACGAACAGCTGCTTGCCTTGCCTCTTCTAAATAATATATATATATATATATATGATACCAACGATACAGGATCGCTGATCTGGCGGTGGTCCGTTCAGTCATAGATCAAGCAAGTCAATATCCTTAGAGGTAGTCTAACTACATAAGAATCGAAATACACAAGAATTTTAACATAGTTTCTCAGACTGCATGGTTTAATTATTTTACCCAAGCAAATGACTTGTCAAGAAGCTAATACATACTTATATTGAGCCCATGTGTCTGATAGTTCTAACCGGGTATCAGGCGCCCTACTTATCAAACTCAATTTCGGGCTAAAAACCACGGCTCATCAGACGGAGTCACAAAGACAAAGCCAATAAAAGTAGTACTAGATCCGACTATACCTCAATCTCAGAACCAAGTCGAGAAGCCATACTAAAATTCTTCTATATTTAAATAAAGCTTAGATCCGTTCATGGTCTATATAAAAGAGAAGTTAGTTATCCGGCATAGATATAAATTTTTAGCCGGACATAGTCACGGCTTAGATTGGAGAATTTATAAAAGTAAAAGATAGGAAGAAAGAGAAAAGAAAGTACCTTGTTGTTACAAAATCGCACACTTTATTATTCCGACCAAAATCCGGCAAGCTTACAATACTTAGTAAGAAAAAGTTTACAAGAGAGAGAGTACAAAAGGGAAGAGAGGGTTTCTGAAAACCTGCTCTTAATTAAAGAAAAACAAACTTATTTATAGAAAAAGAAAGCATCTTTGTACAGGATACTGGGCCTCAATCTGGGTCCTGGTAACAGTGTATCTACTGTTGGTGAACAGTGTTGCTACAGTAGAGCGGGCCTGCTACCGACGCGGATAAGCTTTACACTTCTTTTTACATCTTGTCCTTTAATTTTGCCAAAAAAATCTTCGGCTTTCTTCAGTGCATCCACTGGCGACGTTCTTCTTCATATTGTTGAGCTTCATGCATATCTTCACTTGTTTCACTACGCATTGATGAATCTGATTTTGCGTAATGACTTACATTTAGAAGAATCTTTTTCTTTACTTCTTCTAGATATCTCATAATCATTTCATTTTGTTCTCATTCAACATGATTAGAAAATTTTCTAGCCATATGTTTTACGGAGGTTGAGTCATCAGTCATAATTCCTTTATTAGGAATCGATTTATAATCATGTATGGTTTTCCTTATTAGATCCAGCAGTTCTTGTCCGTATATAGACTTTGTTTGAGGATCTTTCTTCATCAACTTGTCCCAAAAATTATTATAATAAGTTCTGTATAGGCAAGGGATTTGTTCCACAATGAAATCTACTTCCGGAACCCATTTATGAATCCATGGAACAGAGAATTCTATAAAAAAAAAATATTTGTTCAATTTGTTGAAAATAACAAATATGTTCTTGATAATATAACTTGTTGAGATCTGGGGAAATCTTAACCCATTCTTTGTATAACTTGAGAAATGGTTCGGGCAATATTTTGATGGTTGGCCCGTGGTATGACCACCAGTTTAAAAACCAATTTGGTATAGGGTTAACAAATATCTTGGCACATACTTTTATAAACCAAGTATGTTTATGCCTCTCATTGTTATAACAGAGGACTTTATTAAATGCCTGAATATAATCCCAATAGGTAAAGCTTACCATGACTTTGTTCAGACTGAATTGTCTTTCAGTCATTGAGGAAATACCCCAATCTTCGATAGGGATGTTTTGTTTTATAATCATCTTAGAGAAGTTATAAACATTCTCACTTGTATTATATCCTGAAAAATGTTGAAATTCAACACATGTGCTTATCAGCAGAGTCTCATAATATTTCCGAGTTTTGTATGACTCACCCGGGAAATAAAGCCCATTAACTAAATACCTCTGGAATATCTTCCAAGGTTCTTCTTTTCTCTGTATGTCAGAGTTTTCTAAGAGAAATATCATTTCTCTTTTCTCTACCTTTTCCTAGAGTTTAAGTTATATAAACTCATTCCTCCTTTTTGTATAATTGGAGTATTAGATGAAGAAGATCCGTATGATGATCTTGATGAACTTAGGGATGATCTTCCCCTTCCGCGAGTATAACTGCCTTTGCCTCTAGCCTTGGTTATCCAAGGAGGATCCATCCTGCAAACATAGCATTTAGTTTTAATCATTCAAGAGGTTATAAACTTCATTACAATAAAATCTTTCATAAAGCTCTTGTTCAATCATGTAATCATTGACGATATCTATCACCATTCCGTCTATAATTCTCCATAATATAAGTTCCTTTAAATCTCTATTAAGAGGAATTGCCTTCAAAATCGTAATCAAATTTTTATCAGGAAAGAAGTCAAGAAAACCCATCAGAAGAAA